CGCTCCTCCCGCTGGAGACGGTGACCGTGTCACCAGCTGGTGACCCCGGGGAACGCTCCCGGCCCGTTCGGGGAACACCGGGGCGAGCAGCGGAAGGATGCCAACACCTTCACATCAAGCCCCGCTGTCCTGCCCAGCGCTGTTTTCTTCCCTTCAAGGCAAGCTGCTGCTCGAGGGATGTCTTAAACAGTTGCAGCCCCCCCAGCCATCATTCTGGGATGTCCCAAGAACGAGCTGTGCCTTCAAACCAAATTCTGTCAATGCTGTGCTAGTTTCTATCAGCATGAAGGTGACACACAAGCAGCCCCGCCGCAGTCCAGGGCTGTACCGAGGGCCACCAAGAGTGCGGCAGGCTGAGCCTCCCGGGCGGCTCGCACCCTGCCTGGCACAGCCTGCCCGGGCACGCTCGGCCGTGCCCCGCTGGGGATGCGGGCTGCGGCTGCCTCCGGGGCTATCGTCAGGCTGCCAGCGCCCGTTCTGGCTCGTCCGGGGTTTCTGGGGGGATTTTAGGATAGACTGGGATTGGCAGTGGAGGCAGGGAGCTTGCAACGTGCATGTAACTAAAAGGTTGCTTGCAAGAACAGCTCCAGGGCAAGTTTTCGAGTTAATAATGATGTATCAAGTTAGTCATAGCTTTGAGGTAGATATTTCAGCACTTTCTCTTAAACTGAGTTATGTAAAGACGCTAAAAAGACAAAGGATCTTGGAGACAACTATTGCATTATGAACCAAAAACAATTAACTCTTTGATTGTTATTAGTTGTCCTAGAGAGAGACACTAGAGGAATGATAAGGATTCCTAAATGCATATTCACCTTAGAGAAGGTGAAGGTGATTTCTCTTCATCTTAGAAAAAGTGTAAGGATTCATGAACACATCTGTACTTGCCCACTATAAATCTGTGAAGAATATCTCTCTTTGTGTTTTCAGTCCAATGAGTTAACTACTCCAGTGTTTGAGCAAATTGTAGTTTCCCCTGTGCCCCTTGGAAGTTTCTCCCATCACCTGTGAGGCCCAGCAGCAGACATACCCCCTTTGCAGCTGTCTCCCAGTCTCAGTTTCTTGGAAAAACCTCCCACTTGCTGGATCCTCTTCCTTTTCTGCTTGTTCCACATATGTTTGCCCATTGCATGTGCTCAGCTGTTCTGTCTCAGCAAAACCTTTCTCTTCTTGCTGCATCTCCCTGACCTAGAAAATAGCAGTTAGATCAAAGCAAGCTTGAAGCCTTTATCCAACCCCACTTTTTCAAACAAACATAAAAAACAGACTATGTAGTGCTTATCTGCAAACTAGATAAGTAAATACTGTCACCTTGTCATAAATGAATAGATAATAGCAGTCCATTTATAAACAATAGAAAACAATCTTCGATTATTTTAATGATACTACTAAGAAGAGAAAAATTATGTAGAGAAAATAGCATAACAATTGTCTTATAATACAAATACTATGTTCTGTGTATATTCATAAGTCAGGATATTTAAATGTGAGCTTGAAAGTCTGTCCTATTATGAAAACAAGCTTCAATAGCAATTTTTTTCAATTTAAGACTGCTAGGAAAATTACTAGAATACTCGTGTTATACTGACACATGGTCTTGAGCTAATTGCCAAGGAAAAACGCAACTCAAAAAAGTGCCTATATTTCAGGTAGACTGGAAGTGACATTCAGAGAGGTGAGTGAAGAAGGATGATCCTGGAAAGCCTTTTTCAACTGCTTTGTAAATGAAACAGCACATGACCTCTTTTAACAATTGTAATCATAGAATCATGGAATGGTTTGCTTTGGAAGGGATCTCTGAAGGTCATCTATTCCCAGTCCTCTGCAATGAATAGGGATATCTTCAATCAGACCAGTTTACTCAGTTTATTTGAGACCAGGTTGGATGGGAAACCTACACATCTCCCCATCTGCTGGTCTTGATTATTTCCAGGGATGGGGCACCATCTACCACATCTATGGGCAACCTGTTACAGTGTTTCAAAAAGTGTCCTTTATCTAGTCTGAATCGGCTTCATTTCCCATCCTTCAAGAGCTCCAGGCACCTCAAGATCTGAGCATGCCTTCAACACTGCCTTGGTCCTGACAAGACTTGGAAGGTCACTGCCTTGCTTGCAGGAAAACCTGAGTTTGGATGATGACCAATACGCACATACAGGCCCAAGTTCCTTTTCTTCATAGAAAAAACAGTGAAGGCTAATAATGTTCACGTTTTAGATGATAAGCAGTATGACTAGTGGACTATAGCACTCTCCTTGGCCACATAATTAGCTTGTTTTCAAAGTCCTCTGTTGATTGAGGTTAGATTCAAGCCCGTGTGTCATGCTCATTTCAGTATGTTTTAACCACAAAGCCTTAGACTGCTCTGGGGAAGAGAGGAGGAACATTTTTCATTCTTTCTAGTGAAGACATGTCATTGTGAGAGGAGAATCCAAGATCAGCTGGACTGGAGAGAAGCATGACTCTTTTATATGGTAGAATGCAATGAGATGAGGGTGAAGTTGTGAGTCAGTTTTCATTACAAAGCATACAAATATTATTTAGAGAAGGCAGGACACTGTGTGTCTGCAGCCAGTGGAGTTTTTTTTTATTTTACATGTAATACAAAACAGAGCACACAGTGATTTTAAGGCTTCCTTCTACAATGAGAAACAGCCTAGAGTTAGCTCCTTCTTGTGCTCTCTTCTGATAAGGTGTCTTGAATTTGTGCACATGGGGATGGGTTTTGCAGGAAGGGCTGCAGCTTTTTTCCAAGCGAAGTCACAACCAAGTACCTGGACACTGTCCTTGAGGTGAAAAATTAGGCCTTGACAGTTTTCATGTGGAAAACAGAATGAGAGCTGATTCACTACTTGATGTTTTAACAATGAGGGTATTGTATAGGAGGGCAACGTATCTGGATAGACACATATGATTTTTGGTGAGCTTATTAATAATTATCCTGGAAACACCAACAGCCTGGGCCTCCTGGATTTTTAGACTTGCTAAATGACTGATAAAGGACTAACATTTACCTACTGACAGTGTAAGGCGGAGCTCAGTGTGCTGGCTATTTTGGATCTTATTCATTACTCTTTCTCTTACTACTTTGCAAGTTCAGCAAACTGTTTCTATGATTTCTCTTACAATGTTCTGGATTTTGTATGAGCAGACAAATGTCCCAAAATGTAGGCATTGCAGAATGTAGCTTAAAGGCAAATAAATATCTTCTTGGATCTAGAAAGGTCTGAGAGCATCTGGGATGGCCTGGAGAGACCTGCATCTGGAAAAACAGACTGAACATACCTGGATTACTAACTACCTTGGTGAATAGCTGAAATGAAGCAAAGACTGACCCAAGGCCTTCAAGATCTGTGTTGTTATCCAAGTTACTGAGCTATTTTCCTCAGTATATCTTCTCTCTGCCTCACAAGATAGAAACTTCTTCCAAATGGCTCCTTCTGTGTTCTATTGTATGTTCACCAACATGGATATTTTCCTGTGTGCTAACTTACCACAAAACTGTACCAAGTACATCTTCCTACAAGTACAGCTGATAGTCAAAAAAACCCAAAGGGTCTCAATTCTAGTGGGAAAGAGCTGGATGTTAAAAGGAAATGAATGAACACAAGGTTTTCCTGAGCACATCTTGTTTCTTCAAACTCTTTATTGACCTCTCTCCTTCAGTGAAGTCTTAAGGGAAGGCAAGAAGCAATATTCCCTTCCTTAGGTCACAGGTTTGGTGTGGATTTTTTGTTCTTTCTGTGGGTTTTTTTATTTTGTTTGTTCTTAATAAAGGATGTTTGGCTCTTGTGAGTTAGCACATTAGTTTTAGTGACACTTTGCCAAGAATTTGTGCTTGCACAGTAGGCCTAACCCTGAGAATTTCTCTAATAAAATATGACTCACTGTGAATGAATCATTCACAATTCTTCTGTTTGAAGGATATTCACTGCAGATCACGATTTCCTCAAATGTATTTGCTGTTTTTCCAGTTATTTTATAACATTGTCTAATAATTATCAATGTTTTTGGGATTTTTTTTGCTGTTGTACTTTTAAGTTACATATATTCTTAATTTATACCCTATTGTTTATTTGTGATTTTTGAGAAGGTCAGTCAAACATGGTCTTATTCCCTTTCTTG